CAGATGCTGACTGGTTGGGTCATAACTGCTTGGAGATGCAGCACAAACACTTAACCATCAATCTGCATTCTTAGAACAGATAGGTAGATTCTGATTGGTCAGGACATTTCCATGAGGATGCAGAGTTTTGTTATGTGATTTTTTTTGAAAAAGCTACACTGCTTCCTTTTCCCTACGAAAGTATGGTGCCAATTAATTATGTATGCAGCCTCTAGCACACACAAATACATCATACTGCGGGCCCAACTGAGGATCTTACATTGGTTTCCATTACAGATTATTTAATAATTGTTGGCACATACAGCCTATATGCCTGGCATCACACCAGTGCTGAAACTCATAGCCCATTACTCATTTGTGTGGTAAGCAAGATATCCTTTTGGCTTGACAGTAGCATTCTGCTTGTGGAGACAACCATTCTAGGATACACTACATTGCAACAGCATGAGGCAGCTGGCTTCACTTAAATTTTTGAGACACATTCCCCTTTCAGAATAATAAGAGGTAGACTGGGCACCAATCAAGGCCAAAAGTGGTGGATGTAGGACCTTGCACGAGTCTTCATAATACTCAGTGATGATTTGGTCAGGGTACAGATAGTGCTGCTATAACGTGTTTCATTATCGCGAATTGTCCGTAATGCGATTGATGAATAGCAGACACTGTTTGGATAACGCAAACTTTTTGCTGTACAGGTATGTGAACTTTCTCTAGCAATTTCCCTATAAACACTATTTTGTACAGTACGAGGTCACACAAGAATGCAACTATCGCGTTATAGGAGAACTACCTGTTATCATGAAGGACAGTTTCATTATACCCAATCTCAGCATCAAGCTTACAGAGTGAGCATATGGCTAGGACCCTGCTTATGAAGTTGCCAAGAAGATTGATTTTGTGGTGCATGGCACTGTGGGAATCCCAATATTATATTGAGTAGTGAATGCAGATTTGAGATTGATAGTTGCTAAGAAGCCATTTTCTGACCTCAAATAACAAACTGAGATGGGGAACTCACTTGAATTGTTCCATTCCAATAACAACTTTGAATGCAAGATACAGTTAATAAAACAGGAAGTGGAGAAACTCAGCAGAACTAGCAACATTTCTGGAGAAAGAAACAGAGTTAACGTGGAGTGGGTTAACTGAAGGCGTTCTGAAGAGCTCACGTTTGACTTGAAACATGAATTTTGTTTCTCACTCTACAGAAGCTGCCAGACCTGCTGAATTTCTCCAACACTTCTTACATTCTAGCATCAGCAATATTTTGCTTAGGTATGTTAAGGTGTGTAAAGAAATTCTTTGATGTGGCTGCAGTTTTAAATATTACAAACAGGTCATCTACATAATCAGGTGACACCAAGGGGAAGAAAACTAATGGTATCACTGGAGATAACCAACAAGGATGCTAGCAAGAACTGGACCTAAAGGGATCCCCAAAACAACACCATCTATTTGGGTATCTCTACTTTCAAGTCTGATTCTTACATTCTACTCTCACGTGTGTAAGACAAAGCTTTAAGTTCTAGGGACGTTTTAGCAAGTCTAATTTGAAATCATAAGCAGGCAATGCTCGTTGGCCATAGCAGAGATTATAGAAATCAATGCATACTACTCAAAACTGATTAAGTGTCAATGGAAATCATTGAGCAACTATTTGAACTGAATAGTTAACCTCCGAGGCATCATTTGGAAATTCTCAACTTGTGACTATTTCAAACTACTGAATTTGTTTAAATATCTGCTGTGCCAGCACGAGAAATTGTTATGCAGGTGCATATGACATTTTATATCAAGATTCAATGTGCACTACAAAGACCAACTGAATAAGAATTAATCTACAGGATGAGAGTGACAGTCATGCAACATGGAAACAGACCCTTTGATCCAACTCATCCCTGCTGATCTAGTGCTATTTGGCAGCATTTGGCCCACATCCCTCTAAATCCTTCTTATTCATATACCCATCCAGATGCCTTTTAAATGTAACTGTACCCGCCTCCACCACATCCACTGGCAGCCTGCTCCATACATGCACCACCCTGTGTGAAAAAGCATTAAAACAGAAAAGAACAAAACAGAATCTATATTGTAGACTAGGAAAGAAAAGGCACATTAGCAATAATTTATGGAGCTAAAATGAGCATGCAAAATGCAAGTGATTTAGGAACGTAGAATGAAATGAGACATCAACTCAAGATTAACATTTTTATATTTTTGAACTGTGGAGTTTAAAATTTATTTCTGGAACATGTCAGTACTTATAGCGTTTCATACCCTACTCAAAAGGAAGCCAAAACAAAGTTGGAGATAAATGTACTGCTTGGGAATTAATTTGCCAAAATAGAAAAAGAATGTTAAGTTATAAAACAAAAGATCTTTGCATGCATAGATATGAAAACAGTGACATCTACTACATATTAAACAGACCACTTGATTTTTTAAAAAATATTAATTCACAGAATGTTAGTATCGCTGGTTAGACCAGTGTTTATTATCCATTTCTAACTGCCTGAGGGCAGTTGAGACTCAACCATATTGTAAGATTCTGGAGTCACATGTAGGCCAGATCATGTAACTGCCATCCTTACCTTTCCTAAAAGGACATTACTCAACTTGAGGGGAATTGTATGGGTCATTATTAAACTCTTAATTCCAGAAGTAAAAAAAAATTAAGTTCCACCATTTACTAGAGCATTACAGCATTACTGAATATACATAAGTTATTCCAGACCTTACTACGTGGTGACTTTAGTACACAAGTATTTACAAATCTTGATGGCGCTATCACACCTTGCCACAAATCAGTAATTGCAACTCCTGAATTTGTATGTGCCATTCAATACAACGTCCTCTTCTCCTCCTGCCGCCAGCCCAAATATATACGTATATAAAAAGCAAGAGGGTAGCGAGGGAAAGGGGTGACCCTCTCCATGACAAAGGAGGGAATCTATAATGTGGAGCCAGAAGAGGTAGGAATACTGTGCGCCCATATTCACTAAAGAGAAGGAATCGATAGAGGATGATCTTGGGGAAGGGAGTATTGAGTTTCTAAGCCAAATTGCTATAAAAAGGAAGAGGCGTTGTTCGTCTTAAAAAGTATTAAAGGAAATAAGTCTGCTGGTCCAGATGGGATCTATCCCAGAATATTGAGGGAGGCAAGAGAACAAATTGCTGGATCACTGACAGGCATCTTTGTATCCTCTTTGACCACAGGTGAGGTCCCAGAGGACTGGAGAATAGACAATATTGCCCCATTATTTAATAAGGGGAGCAGAGATAATCCATAAAATTACAAGCCTGTGAGTCTCATGTCAGTGGTAGGGAAATTATTGGAAGAGATTCTCAGGGACAAGATCTATGCGCATTTAGAAGCAAATGGACTTATTAACGATAAATAGCATGGTTTTGTGTGGAGGCAGGTTGTGCCTCATTACTTGATCACTTTTTTTAGGAAGTGACGAAGATGATTGATGAGGGAAAAGTGGTTGATGTTGTCTACATGGACTTCAGTAGACCTTTTGACAAGGTCCTCATAGCAGACTGGTACAAAAGGTGAAGTTACATCGTATCAGGAGTGAGCTAGCAAGATGGGTACAGAACTAGCTTAGTCACAGGAGACAGAGGGTGGCAATCGAAGGATGCAACTAGTGATGTTCCACAGGAATCAGTGCTGGGACTTCGGATGTTCGTGATCTATATAAATGATTTGGAAGAAAATGTAGTGGTCTAATTAGTAAGTTTGCGGATGATACAAAGATCGGTGGAGTTGTGGATAGTGAGGAGGATTGTCAGAGGATATAGATCAGTTGGAGGCATGGGCAGAAAAATGGCAGATGGAGTTTTATCTGGAAAAAATGTGAGGTGATGCATTTTAGAAAGTCAAGGACAGGTGGAAATTATACAGTAAATGGCAGAACCTTTACAGTATTGATATGCAGAGGGATTTGGATAGGTCCACAGACCACTGAAGGTGACAGCGCAGTAGATAAGGTAGTAAAAAAGGCCTATGGTATGCTTGCCTTCATTGAGGACAGGGATATGCTACAGCTTTAGGGAACTTTAGTTAGGCCACACTTGGAGTATTGCGTACAGCTCTGGTCGCCACACTACCAGAAGAATGTGGATGCTTTCGTGAGGGTACAGAAAAGGTTTACCAGGATCAGAGATAGTAGGAACTGCAGATGCTGGAGAATCCGAGACAACAAGGTGCAAGGCTGGATGAACACAGCAGGCCAAGCAGCATCATAGGAGCAGAGAAGCTGACGTTTCGGGCCTAGACCCTTCATCAGACTTCATCAGACCTTCATCATACCAGGATGTTGCCTGGTATGGCGGATTTTAACTAAGAAGAAAGATTGGATTGACTGGGTTTGTTTTTGCTGGAACAGAGAAGGCTGAGGGGCGACGTGATAGAAGTTTATACGATTGTGAATAGCATGGATGAGTGGAAAGTATGGAGGCTTTTTTCCAGGGTAGAGGGGTCAATTACTAGGGAACACAGGTTCAAGCTGCAGGAGGGGTGGAGTTTAAGACAGATATGTGAGGCACGTTTTTCACACAAAAGGTGTCAAACACCTAGAATGCAGTGCCAAAGGTAGGGGTGGAAGCAGACACAATAACAGCATTCAAAAAGCACCTAGACGAATACATGAATAGGAAGGGAATAGAGGGATATGGATCCTGTAAATGAAGACAGTTTTAGTATGGAAGGGCAAAACGTGTTGGCGCAGGCTTAGGGGCTGAAGGGCCTGTTCCTGTGCTGTACTGTTCTTTGTTCAAACGGTTTCTTCATGTTTCAGCTACCCAACTTAACTGGCTAGTTGAAACCCAACTAGCTCAACAACATTATTCTAGATTAAATAAATTAAAAGCATTAGGTTTTCTTTAAAACAAACTGCTTCCACGTAAAACATTCTTCAAAACTCTGTCTTCTGCACAACCCAGGAATTTTGCAAATAGTTTCATTTCACAATTCAGGTCATCAACTAGTTCCTTACCCATCAGCTATTTTCCGAAAGTAGTCGTAAGCATTTCCTGCATTGAGTGGCAAGGTTGACAGCAGATTGTGGAACTCTAAATCATATCTACGGTTGATGTCATCTCCAATAAGAGCAAGTTGACGGCCCACAAGAGTTGGAGTACTGAGGGAGGGAAGACAAAATAAAATTAAAAAAAGGTCACAGCAACTTAGAAAGTCACAAAACCCTAAGATACTGAGGAAAAACAGCCAAGGTGGAAAGAAACAAATTTTATGAATGGGCCAAGTGGCCGGTCTGGTGATACAAAATTCCATAATTCTTCTCATCTTTAGTAAGGTAATGTGTGGCTTTTAGGATATTCCATGCAAAAATCTCCAGAAAAACTTGTGTACAAAAGACTGCATGAGTGAAGACAAAACAAGATATTAATCTATAATGTATTTTACTCTACTTCCACAAAAGGCCTCATCTAAAAAACTGATGTGACAAATTTTAGATAGTATTTCTTCATTCACATGCCTGCTTAAACACTACTTTTAAGTTGATTTTATATTGGACAAATATCCTACTTTTCAGGAGGCTGCTGCATCTCAATTATCTCTGGATCCTCTGGGACATTTGTACCTTCTTCCCTCTCCGATTGGTACCGGAAGAAGACGTAACTCCTGAAAACGTCCTCGGTTTCCTGCACAACACCTTCCTCTACAATGCAAAGAAAATTTGTCTTTAGCATTTAAATGAACATTCTCCCTTTTTCTATATCTGTAGGCTCTTATTTCATAGAATAAATACCAAATGTGTATGAAGTTACCCTTTCAGCTACAAGAACAGAATTGCTATTGTACAAATGAGGTATATATCTAGAAATAGAACTAATTGGAGACCAAATGAAAAAGAAAAAAGAAACCAAAGAACTGCTGATGCTGGAAATTAGAAACAAAAATAGAAAGTGGAGTTACTGTTTTGTATCCAGTGACCCTTCTTCAGAACTGATGTAGATTTTAGCTATGAAAGAATTGGTTATAGATGTTGAAGATTTTTTTTTTGGTGGGGGCGGGGGAATGGTGGGGTGGGGGGGGGAGAGCAGGAGAAGGAAGCAATAAGTGGAGATGGAGTTCAGAGACATAGAAAAACAGTTGGGGACACAAACGAATGGGTAAAGATCTGCCTGGAGAATCAAAGCTGCTAATATAGACCATTAAAAACTGAAAATCATTTAGTTGTGGTAGCAGCCCATGTGATGACTAGGTCTGGTGCTAGGGCAAGATTATGAAAGGTGGTGCTCTGGCCCTAAAATTATTGAATTTAATACTGAATCATGAAGGCTACAGAGTCCCCAAGTGGAAAATGAGGTGCTTGTGCTGAGCTTCACTGGAGCACAGCAGCAGGCCTGAAACAGGGATGTTGACCAGGGAACATGGTGCTGTGTTGAAGTGGCAGGCAACAGGAAGCTCAGGGTCATTTTTGTAAACAAAACATAGGCGTTCTGCATAGTGGTCACACAGTCTGCGTTTCGTCTTCCCCATTAGAGCAGACTACATTGTAAGCAGCGAATACAGGAGACTAGTTTGAATGAAGTACAAGTAAATCACTGCTTCATCTGGAAGGTGAATGTCTGGGGCCTTGGAGAGTGAAGAGGAGCTATGTGGACAGAAGTTGCATCTTCTGCGATTGCATGGGAAGGTGGTGTTGGGAGTGGAGGAGTGGACTAAGGTGTCTTTGGCAGGGGGGAACTGTCCTTGCAGAAGGTTGACAAGGGAAGGAAAGGGGAATGTATGTCCCACTGGTATTGGTGGAAATGGCAGCTAATGATCCTTTGGATGTGGATGCTGATGATGTGGTGGTACATAGGGACTGAAGTGCAGGCGATGAGACCAAGGGCCCCGTAACCTGGGACTTGAGGTCAGTTTCAGAATTTTCAGTTCGTGGGTTCCAGCTGCCTCGTGTGTACCATCAATGTGCCATTCCTTTAAAATGTCTATCCCCCATCAGGATGGTCTCATGGCTCTCCACTACTTCCTGGGAAAAAAAAGAGAGACCTTAACCATTTCCCCCCTCTTGACCATCTTCCTTGGCCTGGCGGAGATCATCCTCACTTTGAGCAACCCTTCTTTTCTTCCCGACAGGGGACGTTGTGGCCATGGACACCTGCATGGGCCTTAATTACACCCATCTCTTTGAGGGGTCCATGGGACATTGCTTGTTCCAGTCCTACTCAGGCCCCCACCCACATGGGGAAGCGATGGCCTAGTGGTATTATTGATACACTACTAATCCAGAAACTCAGCTAATGAACTGGGGACCCAGCTTTGAATCCTGCCGCGGTAGATGGTGAAATTTGAATTCAATTAAAAAAAAATTAACAATCTACAGATTACCATGACACCATTGTTGGTGAAAAAAACATCTGGTTCACTAATGTCCTCTGGGAAAGGAAATCTGTCATCCTTACTTGTTCTGGCCTACATGTTCCAGTAGAGTTACAACGCCGGCAACCACCCGACAATGTGGAAAATTGTCCTGTACATAAAAAGCAGGACAAATCCAACCCGACCAATTACCGCCCCAGTCTACTCTCGATCATCAGTGAAGTGATGGAAGGTGTCATTGGCAGTGCTATTAAGCAGCACCTGCTCAGCAATAATCTATTCAGTGACACCCAGTTTGGATCCTGCCAGGGCCACTCAGCTCCTGACCTCATTATAGCCTTGGTTCAAATATGGACAAAAAGCTGAATTCCAGAGATGAGGTGAGAATGACAGCCCTTGACATCAAGGCTGCTTCAACCAAGTACGGCATCAAGGAGTCCTAGCAAAACTGGATTCAATGGGCATCAGGGGTCAAACTCCGTTGGTTAGTGTCAAACCTGGCAGATAGGAAGATGATCATGGCTGTTAGTCAGTCATCTCAGCTCCGGGACATCTCTGCAGGATTCCTCAGGGTAGTGTCCTAGGCCCAATCATCTTCAGCTGCTTCATCAGTGACCTTTGCTTCGTAAGGTCAGGAGTGGTGATGCTCACTGCTAATTGCATAATGTTCAGCACCATTTATGACGACTCAGATACTGAAGCAATCCAAGTTTAAATGCAACAAGATCCGGACAATATTCAGGTTTGGGCTGACAAGTGGCAAGTAACATTCATGCCACACAAATGCCAGGCAATGACCATCATCAAGATGAGACAATGCAACCACTGCCCCTTGACATTCAATGGTTACCTGGGGGTTACCACTGACCAGAAATTCAACCAGACTTGCTGCATCAGAGTGGCTACAAGAACAGGTCAGAGGCTAGGAATATTGTGGCAAGTAGCTTACCTTCTATTTCTCCAAAGCCTGTCTACTATTAACAAGGCACACGGCAGGAGTAAAATCGAATATCCCCACTTGCCTGGATGGGTGCAGCTCCAACAACACAAGCAGCTTGACATTATCCAGGGCAAAATAACATGCTTGACTGACACTTACATCCACAAGTAACCACTTCCTCCATCACTGACACCCAGTGGCAGTTTGTACCACCTACAAGATGCATTGCAGAAATTCACCAAAGATCCTCAGGCAGCACCTTCCAAAACCATGACCACTTCCATCTAGAAGGACAAGGCCAGTAGATAAATGGGAACACCACCACCACCTGCAATTTCACCTCCAAGTCACTTACCATCCTGACTTGGAAATATACCGCCACTCCTTCACTGTTGCTGGGACAATATTCTGGAATTTCCTCCCTAATGGTATTATGGCTCAACCCACAGTAGGTGGAATGCAGCAGTTCAAGGCAACAGCTCACCAACACCTTCTCAAAGGTAACTAGGAAAGGGCAATAAATGCTCGTTAGCCAGTGATGCCTACATCCCACAAAATGAATTTAAAAAAAATAAAAACACTCTGTTAATCAAGTTACATCAGCAGCACCACTTCCCTCATTCGGAATTGGAAAAGTTTATCCATTTTGCTTCCAAATTCCACCTTGCCCTCACCATCATCTGGTCCATCTCCCACTCCTCCCTTGCCTTACTTGACATTTGTTTCCATTTCTGGGAATAGACTGGCCTGTAATATCCACTACAAATCCACTGATCATGACAGTTACATTGACTCCACATCCTCACACCCTGATTCCTATAAAGACTGTTCGGTTCTCCCTGTTCCTCCGTCACATCTGTTCTGATGATGCCAACGTCAACAAGGGGCCACCAAAAAGTCCACCTTCTTCCTCAATCGAAGATTCCCTACCATCATGGTCGACAGGGCCCTCCATCATGTCCGACCCTTTTCCTGCGCTTTGGCCCTCACCCTGTCTCTTCCCTCCGACAGCACTGATAGGGTTCCCCTGGCTCCTCATTTACCACCCCACCTGCAACCACATTCAAAAGATCACTAGCTGTCATTTTCCGCTACCTCCAGCAGGATGCTATCACCAGATACATTCATCTCCCTTCCCTTGCAAACCTTCCAGAGGTTGCTCCCTTCAGGGCACGTTAATCCACTCCTCCTCCACTCCCAATACCCCATAGTCCCATGACACTTTCCCATGCAATCACAGAAGATGCGACACCTACCCATTTACTTCTTCCCTCCTTACTCTCCAAGGCCCCAGACAAACCTTCCAGGTGAAGCATCAATTTACTTCTACTTCAATCTAGCCTCCTGTATTCGGTGCTTACAATGTTGTCTGGTCTACAATGGGGAGACAAAGTGCAAACGCGGCACCACTTTGCAAACACTTAGATTCCGCCCATAAAAGTGACTCTGAGCTTCCTGTTGCTTTTCACTTCAATGCATCACTGTGCTCCTTGGCCAACATCTCTATCTCAGGCTTGCGGCAGTGCTCCAGCAAAGCTTAGTGCAAGCTGAAAGAACAGCCCCTCATTTTACACTTGAGGACACTGCAGCCTTCAGGACTCAACGTCGAGTTTGATTATTTTAGAATCCGAGCACCTCCTCCCATGTCCTTACCCTAAACCCACACACCAGGCATTGTCATCACACTGGGTTGCTTGTGGTAGCAGCCTTTGTCAGCCACTACGGGTCCCCATTAGCAGCTATTGATACTCCCAGACTGACCTTTACCTCTTCATTTGTCTACCCAACTGCTTTTATCTCTGGGCTCTCCATCGCGACCTCTGAACCACTCCCAGCAATTTCCTTTTTGTTACCAATAAGAAAGAACTAGTGCATGGAGGCAGAGGGTATAGCAGGAATAGTAATGAATACATTTCACCATTCTTTACCAAAGAAGATGCTACACAAGTTATAGTGAAAGGAGGTGATTAATACATTTGCATGATTTAACAAAGAAGTAGTTGTGGCACTGGATGAACTGTCAATCCAAAATTGATAAAACACCCAGACCACATCAGATACATCCAAAAATTGAGAAAAGTGTTCAAATTGCAAAGGAACTAGCTGTAATTTTTCAGTCTTCCTTAGACTTGGATTATGCCAAAGGATTGGGGAATGGTAAATGTTACAGCTTCATTCAAAAAGGTGGAAAGCCCAGCAATGACAGACCACTCATTTTAACTTTAGTGGCAGGAAAACTTCTAAAAATAATATTCAGGACATAAACAATACAGTTCATTCTCAAATCTGGCAGCCTTGGGACTAAGGCTGTGCTGTGTTTTGGAACTTGCCATTTTTCAGGTAAAAACAAACTACATTAACTGAATGCAGATTGCATTAATCCAATGAATAGG